TTATCTTGGTCATCTGAAAAGTTATGGTAAATGGTACTGATTTATTTATGCAAACTGACCGCACGAGAGCTTATGTTTCAGACTGTTTTCGAGGCTTTGGATTCGCTAACCAGTTAGATGAATAAATTGATATGGAATCATGCACAACACTTACCAAGAACTTCTACTTTGGCTTTGCCATTTCTTTCTTCCTGAGATTTAGAAAATGTAGAAACTCAGATACAAAGAAGAACAACAACATTGACAACAGCATTGACAACAACAAAAATGACAATAGCACCATCGACAACAATAACAACATCGACAACAACAACATATACGGCAATGACAACAAAATCGACAACTATGACAACAACACCATCAACAAAAATGACAACAACAACATCGACAACAATGATAACAACATCAACAAGAATGACAACAACATCGACAACTATGACAACAACACCATCAACAAAAATGACAATAACATCGACAATAATCACAACATCGACAACAACAACAAGAATGACAACAAAATCGACAACAATGAAAACAACACCATCAACAAACATGACAACAACAACATCGACAACAATGATAACAACATCAACAAGAATGACAACAAAATCGACGACAATGACGACAACACCATCAACAAACATGACAACAACATCGACAACAATCACAACAACAACAACATCGACACCATTACTTACATCAAGTGCCATGGCTACTTCTTTTCCTTTGTTCCTTTCGAATGGAGACGCATCTTGACCACACCACTGTGAATAATAAACGATGGTAAAGCATTTCACCAATAATCGTTAAAAGTCGGATTTACACGATGCGATTGTGGTGTACGATTTCTAGTATACGACTCTATCGCGAAGTCATGCGCCTTGTAAATGCCTCTACGACTTAACTGTAGTACGGTTTTATCCAATGATCAAAATCCTAAGCCCAAGAAAATGACGTGATTTTTTCCATATTCGTACTGGGACTATTATTTCGTCCAATAAAAACGCAAGTTTACCAATGTCGTATGCGAATAGTATACGACAGTCGTCGTAGTCAAAATCGTGTCGTGTTAATCGACCTTTGACGTTACAGCAGAACGTCGGGATGTGACGTCATAGAGAAACAGGTAACCCATACCATGATGATGTGAAGACCTTTGTCGATAATGTACACATCACCGTTGTTCATACTCGACTTCTTCATTGGTTTCTCACAGACCATCTCCTTTTTCTGAAATCATGAATGAAGCATATAAGCAAGGCAAAAGGGTTGAAGAGAGGTAAGGAAAGGAGGAAGGAAGCGATGAAGGGAGGGAGGGAAGAGATGAAGGGAGGGAGGGAAGAGATGACGGGAGGGAGGGAGCAATGAAAGAAGGAAGGGAAGCGATGAAGGGAAGGAGGGAAGCGATGAAGGGAGGGAGGGAAGAGATGACGGGAGGGAGGGAGCAATGAAAGAAGGAAGGGAAGCGATGAAGGGAAGGAGGGAAGCGATGAAGGGAGGGAGGGAAGAGATGACGGGAGGGAGGGAGCAATGAAAGAAGGAAGGGAAGCGATGAAGGGAAGGAGGGAAGCGATGAAGGGAGGGAGGGAAGAGATGACGGGAGGGAGGGAGCAATGAAAGAAGGAAGGGAAGCGATGAAAGGAAGGAGGGAAGCGATAAAGGGAGGGAGGGAAGAGATTAAGGGAGGGAGAGAAGGAGAAGAAGGAAGGGAGGGAGAGAGAAAGAATGAAAGGGAGAGAGGAAGGGAGGAAGAAATGGAGGACAGGAAGGCAGAGAATAAGAGTGGGATCTGTTCTACCTTGCCATTGATGGTCTCAATTTTGACCTCAAGTAGTCGCGTGTTATATTTTTCTGGTCCAACTGCTTTGAAACCACTCTCAGCTCTAAAAAACACACATTCACTAAATGTCAATGTCAGTGTCAATCAATCAATCTATCATCCAATTAATCAATCAATCAATCAACAAATCAATGAACCAATCAATTAATCAACCAAACCTGTACATTTTATGCATAATTTGTCCTTACATACCCCCCGTGAAGAATCTGAATCCTCTTAAAGTAACTCTTGAATAGATCAGTTTCAAATCCCTGAACTTGTCTGTGTTGGACAGGTTTGTCATCCAACTACGAAAAAAAAGCAACAACAAACGAGCAATTTGAAAGCTTTCTTACCAATAATATTAATTTACGCTTTTAGCTCATGTTATTTACGTATCAGTACTTACGAGAGTGTCTAGCTCGACAGTTTTGTACGCAGCCGTTCCGTACTCGTCTTGCGTCGACTGAGCGCCGATCCAGAAATGAACGTCGTAGAGCAATTCCTAAAAATAGTAAAATTCCAAACGATTAATGGAATGACCGTGAAGATATCATCCCTATTCATATGCCATCAAACCAAGACACTTCAGTGAAAATCGACTACGATAAATGCTGGAATCTGGAGTCCGCTGTACAGCCTTACGGATCACCTCGCTATTACGGACTCCTCGCGCCTCGTAGTACGGACAGTAAGATACTGCCCCGGCAAAAAATACAAAGAGATTACTGAAGGTAGCTCCCGTTAATACCAACTCTCGCTACTGCGGTCGCTAAACTACGGTCCCGAGGGCGTGTCCATAAAAGCGAGTCCTAGTTGACTGTACAAATGTTCGGTTGTAACATAAAGCCAACAACAAAGTCATTTAAATATTGTTATGGAAGGTGAAATTGTATCTTACATCGCCGTTTGGATCTTTGTAGGTATTTAGAATGATGTACGAATCTCCGTTGAAGAATTTCCCATATTGYTCTTTGGGCCAATGCTCCACCTGTAGACCAAAATAGTCAGGAAAAGTGGGAGTTACAACTTGAAATGCAAGGACGAATGAAAAGATAAATGAGACGATGAATGAAGAGGAAGAAAGAAAAGGACGCAAGAAAAAAGTAAAGAAGAAAAGAAACAAGAACAGAAGGGAGAGAGGGAGGGAGGAACAAAGGGAGGCAGGAAGAAGGAAGGAAGACGGGAGTGAGAAAGAAATAAATAAATAAAGAAGGTTATTTAAGAAGGAAGGTAGGATGAGTAAAATCTGAGATGAAAGGTAAAATGGAACGGGAAAAAAGACAAGGAAATATTGAAAACTAAGAATATAATGAATACAAACCCTCACCTTGAAATTCACAATTCTCCATATTTGAAGGCCAGGTTTCTGTCCTGCTCCTTCCCAGGCCGGCTCGGTCCCAGCAGATTCCTTCTTGATCTGCAAGTTCATGGAAAAACGTGCATCAAGCGAGTATAATGAAGCTTTTTGAATACATTGTACAGAACCGTTCGTGCGGGCAATCCCGTAGTATTTGTCAAAAGCTGAATAGTCAATCAAATGGAACGATTTAACATCAGTTAAGTGTTTTATTTGACAAATTAAGCCTTTTTGAACCCTTTTTTTCAGCAGTAAAAGGCATTGAAGTGAAACTGAAATATGACAAATATCTTGAAACCTTTATAAGCACATGTCAGGGAACTATTTTGGCTCATTTAATATTCTATTTTTTGTTTTGCATCTTGTGGTATAATCATTAAATGTCTACTCGTAAACAATTATAATATATCCAACTAAATACAGCTTTAAGCAAAAAAAGATGAAGTACTTTATAGTTTAATATACTRATACTTTTATCAAGGATATGAGCATTGCTTAGTCGCCGGAAACTGGCTTATATGCAACGCTGAACGTGGTATATGGAATTTATAATCAAATCAATAGTGAGACATTTAGTGTATTACTTTGTAACACACGCTCCTGTTTTTAAAAGTTTTCGTTCTAAATCTGGAATTTCCATTCACAGAAAGTAAACAAAATCGAATTTACACTTTCTTTCAATAAAAATATTAATTGTTACGCATAAATTAAAGATAACTAGAAGCGAAGACGCTTCAAGTTCGCATCAGTGGATTTCGACAAAACTAATCTGAGCTCAATGGATATTAAAAAAAAACGTCGACATGTTTGACAGAATTCATTGAAGTTAATGTTGGATTACCAAAAAGTTGATTATAAATCATGCTTGAAATCCTAGTCGTACGAGTATTTAAATTAAAAGGGAGATATAAAAGRTAAAAAATAATAATTCTAATGAAGAAACTCAATTGATCTTCTAGAACATGCAGAAAATAAGTTTATATGTAACATATAAAATCTGTACATTTAAAATTGTACTTAATATTCAAGTCATACAAACTTTGACATACATGGGTAAACATAAATCTTATACAAGAGTGCACTCTTGTTCCCAACTGACTCTTTAAGAAATTGAAATCGCGTGAAATTCGCTGATTTTAGAGCCGGAAATGCTGGCCATATATGTGTTATTCTCATATGTGTGACTAGTTATTAATTTGTAATATYTGAAAGGTTTAATATCCGGGCTTGAAAGTTAATAAATAAGTTATTAATCCAGCTTCAATTCCGGTACAATGGAACCCTTGCAAAGCTAAATATGTGTGGATTTTGTCTGCATATATTTCAAAGTTTAAATCTTTCGCTTCCTTTCTCTCGAAAGGCAAGATAAGCTATTAATTATCAGGCCTACTGGCGTTAAACTGAATCGAGTTATTATAAATTAAGCATAAATTCTTAACTAAATACAGACCACGTAGAAGTAACTACACTACTAATGATTTCAAATTAGATATCACACAATGTCATAACGTTGAAACGACGGTGTTGAAGTGTACAACAGTTGAAACTGTTTATAGAGCCAACACTCCAGGAAGTATACGAACTTGCGTGTCACTTCARACCTWTCACAATRTTAGTACTCACGTTTCTTTCCAAATCAGAGCCAAAAAAAGCTAAATTCGAATCTTTCCAATCATACTTCTTTTGCTTTACTAGACCAGCCATTTTTTGTACTTGAATTTGATGTTCAGGAGATATTAAATGAGATATTAAAAAGTCCTTTCCGTCGTAGCAAGCGAGTAGYTGTAGTGACAGCGAGCTCTGGTTATGAATACATAATTACTTCCATATATGGATAATCGATGCGTTATCGTAATGGCTTGACTAAAGTAGCATTATTTTTCAGTATTTATTCAAAGCAATGATAAAATATTAAAATCATAACCTGTTAAGATCTTTTTTCTTTTAAAAGTGATAAAGACATTTTCAAATTGGATTGTGTTACCCAGAGTAACGCGTCACGCAATACAAGTTGAGATTTACAAAGTACGCGTTATATGATTGGCTAATAACTATCTTCCGGGAGGAAGTGAGCCAGCACAGTGCAAAAAAGCAAAAAACGAAATGATTTCAATCGCAATGAGATCAAAAAGTTGAACATTTCTTTGAAAAGATCGTCACAAAGTTAAAAAGTTTGGAAGCAAAAAAGTTTGTGCTGAAATCGATCCTGGCTGATTCCGGGTTTATGGCCAAACAATAACGTTTCATCTCTGAATGAGCACTGTATAATATACATTTTACAACACTTGTGTAAAGTCTCGCGCGCTGATTGGCTGATTACAGTGTGTCAATAAGAGGACATGCACACTGTGCTAACACCATTACGTCTCGCGCGCGCTCAATTGAAAGAAAACAATGATTTTCGCTAATTTTTAGACTAAAATGTGGTAAAAACAAATTGCACAGGGTTTTGAGTTGTATGTCCTCTTGACGTCGTAAAATGTTCAAAACTTTGAAGCTAGCACACGAGGGCAGCGAGCTTGAAAACATTTTAGTTTAAAACATTTTAGGACGTCAGGAGTGTGTCAGTAAGCTAGACATACCGAACTGAAAAAACGTGCGCAATTAATAGTCCAGTTTCGAATTCTCCAATGCTCTGTGTTAGCCTCATTTGKGCGCAAAATATTCCKTATTDTGAGCGTAAAAGTGTGAGATTTCAAATCAAATTTATTGTTTCTTCACAAATTCCATGCGTTTTCTCGGGCTATCATTGAAACAAAACAATATGTTACTTGGTTTTGAGGCTAACACAGAGCAAACCAGAACTCGAGATTGGAGTATTCTAAAATCTCTATTATCACAAAAAAGCAATTAGCATTCAACCCAGTGAACGAAGGGTAGAGAGGTCAGTGGATTCTTACGGGTTTCTACACCATTTTGCGCATAAAAGGCGCGGGGACTGGAAGTGGGCGATACAGGTACATAAACGATTCTAAGGGTTATCTAATGCGCATGGTCAAAGGAAAACATCCGATATCGAATTAGAATATGTACGTGTTCATAAACCCGTGAAACAAAGTGTAATAAACTTTTACTCCGACGAAGGATCAACGTCCGAAACGTCAGTAAGTTATTTCACATACTTTTTTACGGTGTTATATTTATCTTTTTAACAAAGTGTAATAATTAGAGTGTAATAGATCGTAATAGTCGCGTAGAGACAATAAAAAACAAAAGAGCCAAAGTGTAATAGCGATAAATACGCTAAAGTGTGTTTCGACGGGTTTATGAAAACTACTCTAATCAATTTGCCAATGATAGAAACACTCCATTGTGTGTTTCAGTATTTATTTTTAAACGCATATGACATCAAACATGATTGCAATTAAAATCTTCTTAATAAGTAGTGTAATTAGGGACTGTTCATTTTTTATCGGAAAAGGGGCTGGTGGTTTTTGAAAATTTCTCGAGCCCCCCCTCCCCCGATTAGATACAATTTTTTCAAATGACCCACATCCCTTAACCATGTTTTATTGAAACTACCCATACCTCTTTTGATTCTTAGAATATGTTGTACCAAGTAATATACGTTAATAATTTTTCATGTCCCCCCTCTAGCATGTTAGTATTTTTGCATGCCCCCTCTTGATAAAAAATGAGCAGTCCCTCAATAGTGTAACAATGTACAGTTGACATTGGAATGATATATACACGCAAGCAATACTGGTTATCAATATTATATTATTATCAATACAATATTATATTATTAATGTGTTTGCAGAGACAATTTGTGAAATATTTGGACATTGGCAGTACAGCTTTGCAGCTTCATCTTAAATAATTTTTCCATATTTTTTTGAATTGCATCCAAGAAAGTTTAAAGTTTATGATAAATTTGAGTTGTTTTTGTGGAGTGTGAAGTTTTCAGCAACCCATGAAATGTACTTTACTTTGCTGTACTAATTATTGCTCTTTATACTRCACACATTGCTTTTCTGTGGTATTATACTATACTAAGATTTAGTTAGAGTGACCGCACTTAGACCATGCAACTGTACAAACTAAATAGTGCTATTTAGTTGTATTTAGTAAATCGCGCATGCGGTAGAGTGAATGCACTTAATCCGTGCAACTGTACAAACTAAATAGTGCTATTTAGTTGTATTTAGTAAATCGTGCATGCAGTACGCAAATTAAATTGAATTGATACAAATGAAGCATTCAATACCGTCTTGCTTCAGGTCCACTTTCAGTACAAATTAGTACTACCTAGATTTTGTACATTTGCAGTGTTTAAATGCGATCACTCTATAACACTTTGATTAGCGAAAACAGCTCTAATACACTTATTTTTACTAAATATTGACATGACTTAATAAYTTATTGTACTTTCATGGGTTGATGAAAACCTGACTCCACTTATTTGAATTGATAAACATATTTTTGTATATTTTTTACATGCAGTTTTGATTTGTAGCCCTTTTTTCCCTTAGTTTACTAAAGAAACTAGAAGAGAAACTGTTTAGCTTCCTTATTACAAACTTCATTTGTTGAAAATTCTTAATATCAAATCACAATCCCTTCTTTACTAAATATACTTTACAATCATCTATGTATGTTTTKAATTGGGTACCCTGTGCCATTGAAGARCGTTAGTTCCCAGTTCATARCTTTAAATTTAWCATTACTTGGTGTTTTGAGCCACAGGAAGCCCAMCCTGGATATATTTWCAAATTTCAGGTATAGACACCTTGGACTTACTTTATTCTGAGAATTATTACTTGCTTAACCTATCCTACCCTACCCTACCCCCCTAAAATTTACTATAAAATTCTTAAAATTTTCCRAATTGTGTAAAATAACTTRGCATTAATTTAATTGGTCAGTTACTAGATACTAGTCTCCCTTAACCAGTTTTAAGYGCTAACTCGTATTTTCCACTTAAGACTAGCACTACTCCTTTCCTGACAGCTTCGTGCCTAGTTACCAGTCTCTTAGTATCATCGTTTGATTGGCTGGACTCCATTATTGTTATCCGTGTTGCGCGATGCCGCAACGTAAGAGAAGAGACAGAGAACAGCATAGCAGATCTCGTTACACTGAAATCGTAAAATGAATAAATTATTAGATGAGTTTAAGTATGATATGACGAATCATTGGTTGAGATTGTGTATGATATGAACAATTATTGGTTGATGCTGAGTATGATATGAAAGATTATTGCTCGAGGTTGTGTATGATATGAAAGATTATTGGTTGAGGCTGAGTATGATTTGAAAGATTATTGCTCGAGGTTGTGTATGATATGAAAGATTATTGGCTGATGCTGAGTATGATATGAACAATTATTCGTTGACGCTGAGTATGATATGAAGGATGATGTAGCCTAGTTGCAGGAATATTTTTGAGTAAGAACAGGACATTCTGTGATAGTACTAACATGTAATCTTTACCTTATCAGATTTGAATCGATGTTCCACTATTTGTTGAGTGTCAGGAACTGAGAACGAACAAGAAAGACGTCAGACATGATGCTTGTCAATCAAATCAGTCACCTTCAATATTCCTAGATTTGCATATTTATCTGTTCTTCATATCCCTCGTTAAAGGGCTACTTGGACGAAAATTGCGAAACATTAGAAAAGACTTGGAAATCAAATAGACCTATCCACATGGGTCTTATAATCATGAAGCAACAGATTTCAAGATGATATTAATAAAAATCGTTAATAATTTGGGCAAAAAATGATGGAGTAGATGACGTCATTTACTCAATCATTTTGTTCTTCCATCTTTTGAATAAAAATTTGAAATAAGGCCATTTTCATTCAAGTAGCACTTTAATAAATCCCATTTTTAATTCATCCATCCAATGTTTTTCATTCATCCATTCCATAATTTCATTCATCAATCCCATTTTTTCTATCATTCGTTAATCCATCCATCAATCAATTCTTACCATATTCATCCAAAACGAAAACACCTTTCTGTGTCGAGCAGTTTCGAATRTGGCATAAATCAATGTGAACCTGGAACATTAAAAAACATAAATCAGATCATCAGGTACTTACTTACAATTACAAGCTTGAGAAATACACCAAATTGAATTTACCATTTGAATTTTGAAATTACACAGCTATTTTAGGAAACCTCAAATGTTGTGAATACTAGAGAGTTTTAGATTCACGTTTACTGCAAGCGCCAAACGTCAAGTTGGCTTTTATGCTTTGTCTCAAAATTTCAAACGTAAAAACGTCAAAACGCTTCGAAAGGAATTGTGATGCGCTTATACACGAAAAAGTGATCTATTTTATACACAATCGCGAAAGAACGGAGCGTTAATACAGAAAATACAGATCAATTTTGACGTTTGGCGTCTACTGTGTATTTCAAGACTGCAGTGTATTTTTACGATTAAACGCCACGTTAACAGCGTTAGAAACGACAATTCTAAGCGTAAAATGTTCAGTCGAAGTTCTTGACTCTACAGAGAGGGTATAGTTACTCTGAAACAACGACAACTTCTTTTTGACGGCGACAGAATGAACGACAATGCACGGACATAGATACCATGGATAATATCATAAAAGATTTCAGCAGAGAGCAGTATCTTCCTTACTCTTTTTGTGCAAAACTTCAGACCAATGCCTTCAAGGGTGACTTGGAGATGACCGTTTTCACCCGTTTCCATATCCTGTGAAAAGAAATGACAAAAAAGAAAAATTAGGGAATAGTCACTTGTGTGTAAAACAGCCTGTATAGACAAAAGACATTGTACAGTAGCTTCCCCTGCAAAGAGAGTTTTACATCACTTGCCCGGACGTAAAGGAGACTCTGTTCGCAGGGTATACAGAATTAAACATGACTTATGAAATGGTTTGCTGTACCTGGATTGGGAAGTCGCCTCCTAGCTGAGGACCTGGACGGAATTGAAAGAGATTTGTTCAGTATAAAATGGAATTTATCACCATCATCATCATCATCATTATCATCATCATTATCATCATCATCATCATATTTTAGTTCTCCATTGATACAATCAATATCTAATCTAATGTCACCATAATCATGAAAATAATAAACCACATTGCGATATAAATTGCAAATCAGTTTGCTAGTTGTTTCAAGTCAAGTAATGTTCTTGCAACATTTCGTCATTCAGTCGTGTTTGTGTTAGCGCCAGTTTAACTTCTGTGAACATAAACAGTGATAGTGTCAGTTACGTTTGTTTAAATCGAGAAAGTTCAGCACAATAGTCTCCTTCACGGATACCTGCGCCATCTTGAAAGGTAGCCGTGCCTTTGCACCGAAGCGAGACGACCGTTGAGCGTGCAATGATAGATACCTGTGAATAATTGTCTATAGGTGTGAAAGAAGGTTTCTATCATTGCACGCTCAACGGTTGTCTCGCTTCGATGACAAGGCACGGCTACCTTTCAAGATGGCGCAGGTAACCGTGAAGGAGACTATTCAAAGACATAAAAACACAGCCAATAGTCTCCTTC